CTCCCCCCACATCTACCATGTGAAATATTATAATTTTGACTTTGCTCTTGGCTTTTCCAATTTCCCATAATCAACAATATTTGCAAATGCAAGCATGCATTTGACATGCAGTAGCAGTCAGAAGGAGGGGACCACCCCCCCCTTTCTGGATGGTACAATTCAGCACATTGTGAATGAATACACTTGCATTTGTTTCTGTAGTATCGGAGTCTGTATCAATGGCCTTGGCTTTGGTCAACAACAGTTGTGGATCTTTATTTCTGGGTATGTCTCTCTTTTCTACTTCTGCAGCTCAAGGAGCGAGGCCTCAAGTGTTGGGGAGCTTTCTGGAGAACGTAGGATGCGGTCTTACCCCCAAATCCAGGTCTGTCTCCCTCAGTGTTGTGTCCCATCCAGGTAATAACCACGCCTGCCCCTGCTTAGTTTCCAAAATCAGATCCGATTGCTGTGTGTCAGGTGACAACCATGTGAATCAAGAAACAAGGGACATGCACTCTCACGCACCCTCTCTTTCACACCCACGCAAACACACAACATGGCCATTCCGAACAAAAACATAGCCACAGCCATCACTTTACATCCATAAATATTTCCTTGTGATTATTTCAAATTTGGTTGCATATATAAAAATTTCCGCAATTACAACACGTTGTTAGAAAAGCGCTGCCCCCCCTCCCGGCACTGGATTCAAGAGTTGCCACTCCTTTGGCATCGCTTGGAGGCAAAGGTGAACGCTCCTCACCGGAGGGTTCTCACTGTTGTCGGTTGTAGCAAAACACTCACTTTGGAAGAACAAGGTGGGTGGGGTGGCTTTTTTTCTTGTTGTTGTTGTTGTTGCTGTTGTCTTAAAATAAAGAGAGGAGGACACAGAGAAAGAGAGAGGGAGGAGGAGAAGAATCATCCTGGATTTTGACACCATCTCAAAGTCTGGACTCTGTTTCTCCTTTTGTCATGTCTTGCAGAGAAGAGGGGAACAATAGGGCCACACAGACATGATCCAGACCATGAAAACAGTCCCTGCAGACTGGACTCTTGGGGGACATTTCTGTACCAGCCCTCCCTTGAGTTTACAACCTGGGAAAGGGGGAAGCACTATGGCCAAGATTCCTTCTGTTTCCCGGGCCCCACCTCAAGCTCCATCTGACTGCAAAAAGTTGAACCAGAGACAAATTCCAGAACAGCACCCCCACCTTCCTTCTTGCATCTCCCTGCCCTCCCACCCACACCGAGCATCTTCTTCCAGCCGTGGGCTAACGGCTCCAGGGGGTCCTGAAGGGCTCCCTTCTCTAGGTCAAGGGCATGAGGCTCATCTGCACAGACTATCGGTGGCACCAAGGGTGGATGGGTGGGTACCGCCCCAGCACCAGCTGGGGGGGGGTAAAGCACTTGGACAGAGGAGGCCCGGATTGGCCTTGCCCTTCCTTGCCCAGGGCCCCGGAATTAACCACCTTGGCATTTCCTGGAGGGGGAGTGGCGTGTTAAGGCTGGGGATGCTGGCGCGACCCCCAAATGTATCAAGGGCTTCTTCAGGCGAGAGGCGGCTCCAGGTGGACGGCCTCCCTGCAAGGGACTCCCAGGCGTGACGTGGGTGCTGGTTTGAGGAGAGGGCCGCATCAGGTGCCAGGATGCGAGACACCACCCTCGGGAGCAGGCCAGGCAGTTGCAGGACCTGCTCTCACAGGGTTCGGAGGGGTGGTGGTGGAGGAGGAGGATGCTTGGAGACAGGGGGCTGGCTGGTGAGAAATTTGGGCTGGAAGCTGTGCCGGAGAAAAGGACCCGCTGCTAGAAGACAGAGGCCTCCTGCTTCCCAGAGCCTGTCCCGGACCCCATTTGGGTCTCTGTGGCAGTGACGGCTTCCCACGGAGGAGGAAGGGAGGGGAAGAGCAGGTGTTGTGCTTGTTGGTGTTTACAAGTGTCGCGCATAGGAAGAGGATGCAACGGCCGGGTGTTCAACCTTCCGCTCCTCACGTCTGCCACATCCAGGCATGCCCGGCGGCACAAAGGGACCCCCTCCCTACGTCGGTTGCCTTCCGGCAGGAGAAGGCAAAGCCTCTCCCCTGGAAAGGGCTGGATGCCTCTGCGCATGTGCAGGTGGGCACCGGGCATTGTGGGCAGAGGCTGCTTAAACGGACTGGGCAGTGTCTCATGCCACCAGGCAGTTTCAGTCCTGGTAGCCCCAGGTAGTGGCGGCTGCAAAGCCGGGTTTTAATGCCAAGTTCCTCAAAGTGGCTAAGCCCCGTGGGCAACGGTAGTCCACCTTCCGGGACATGATGGCACAGCTCCATGCCAGTCCAGGCCCTTCCTGCTGCCCGTCCTGCATGGCTTCCGCCAGCCACCTTGAAGGGCACGAGGGTGGCCCCGGTGGTCACGCCTGGAGCCTAAATGGTGGTGTAAATGTAGACGAAGATGATGACCAGCAGGTTCAGGATGGTGCCCACGATGCCCAGCATGGCAAGGACGCGCTCCTCTCGGTCCTCTTTCGTCTCCTTGGTTGGCAGCCTGGGGGGGCTGGGTCCCTCGCCAGCCCCCGCAACCCCGGGCACCATGGTCACGTTCAGCTTCTCCACCCGCAGCTTCAGGTCAACCTGCTGAGAAAGGGAGAGAAAACGCTCAGTCAGAAAGGGCAAACCGACGTGGTGCCTCCACCTGCAAGACCTAGAGCTGTTCCCCCCCCAATGACTTTCTGTAACATCAGCCCCACCTCCACCCCCAACAGACTCCAAAACCTTCCGCTCAGGCATGGAGTGTTTGGCTTCTTCTTCTTCTTCTCCTCCTCCATTCTGGACCTGATAGCAGTTCCCACTCCTTTCCTTCAAAACCTTCAGCTCAAACCCTGACACATCCCCCCTGCCTGGCGTCCTTTGCTCCTCCAGCTTCACCGCTCTTAGCCATTAGGACATCTCCGGCCCTCGGAAGCCTCTTGGCCCTTGCATCCTCACTGCCTTCCAGGAACGNGGGGCTCAAGTCATGGGATGCACGGTCAAGTCGGACCTTGGGTCACACCAGCGACTCGACTTGAACTCTTATTTTTCATTGACTCAACTTGCCATCTGAGTGGGGGGGGAAGCTTGTTTGTAACACAAACTCTGGGCTTAGGACTCAGGACTGGGTATCAAAGACTCTGATTGGGACTTAGGACTCACACCAAAAGATTTGCGCACATCCCTGCTGCTTTCTATGTGCAGAAATGTCTTTCCAGGTCCCTTTCAAACCAAAGACTCTGATTGGGACTTAGGACTGACACCGAAAGATTTGTGCACATCCTTGCTGCTTTCTATGCCCAGAAATGTCTTTCCAGGTCCCTTTCAAAGCCCTTGTTTGTTCTTTTTTTTCATTCTTTTGTCCTTGTTTCTTGATCTCTCTCTTATCTCTCATCTCTCCATCTCTCCATCCATCCATCCATCCATCCCCCTCCCTCCACATTTGCCCACCATGACATGATGTACAGGAGACAGACTGTAAAGAGTACTGAAAAACAGATTGAAAACATGACTTAGAAGATAGACCACGAGCACTCTCCTGAAGCAAACCTAAAACATCCTTTAAAAGCCAACCTCGCCTGAACAAGACAATGGCGGCTGTCCTTGAGGAAGCTCAGCAAACCCTTTTTTGCGGGGGGCGGAATCCCGGGGGGGAATCCCACCCTCAAGATGCTGCTACCAACGCTCCTTCCTTTAGTATTTGGCAAAAACAATGAAAACCTTCTGCTGCCTTTAGAGCAACGGTTCCCCATCTGGGGGGGTCTCCAGAGGTTCTTGGACTATAGCTTCCAGAAACTCCGGTCAGCACAGCTATTAGTGGAAGCTTCTGGGAGTTGCAGTCCGAGAAATCTGGGGATCCCCCCCCCCAGATGGGGAAGGCTCCTCTGGAGGTGAAGAAAGGTGGTTTGGCCTAAGCCTTGAAGACCCTTTCTTGCATCTGGAGAAGTGGGCAGCCGGCCAAGAAGGCCATCAACGACTTGGGTCATTAGGGTGGCCACCAGGATTTTAGTCGCAACTGTAGTCCCAGCTTACATCCTCTTCTCTTTCCACAGTGGCCTGTTTGTGGTTACATCTAAGAAATGTAGCAGCAGCAAACTCTCCTACCTTGTCAAATGCCAGACACTGCAGAGGGTAGAAACAGCAACCGCAAGAGAAGCTATGCTGAAGACGTGTCCGCCAGGGAGGCCTTGACTCAGGGCATGAGAGAAAGGTCTTTTTCCCCCACCCCACCCCCACCCCCACCGCCCCATTCCTGAACTGCCCTGTGGGAAAGAGGATAAAGGAGCTTTTCGGATCTCCTTTCTTCAGTCCCACAGACCTCCTCATTGTATTTGGAGAGAAACCCTATATCTCTGCACAGGAAAAGCTGCTTTACATTCCACAGATGCCCTTTGCTCATATCTTCTGCAAACGCCACTTGTCAGCTAGAGCGCCAAGCAGCCAGATCCCTTCCATTTCAAAGACGGCCAGCTTCCTTGTGAGAGAGTGTGAAGCTGGTGAGCGGATTGTACAGGATTTATGGCCTAACGCAGGAGTTACAAAGCTTCCGATTGGATAGGAGAGTTGAGTAAAACAAAACAAAACAAAACAACCCAAACACACAACATTAAAATCTGGAGAGAGGTGTCTACCCTACTGACGGAATGATTTTCAGTGATCCTTATGTTAGGAGGCTGAACCATTTGCCTTTAAGAAGGGAAGTAAAATTTTAGGGACCTGATTGTGTGAGCGAGGTGCTGAAACATCGTTTGGTGACATATAGCCATTTCCTAAAGGATTAGAATGAGGAATGAAGCATGCAACAGGAATGTATAATTGCCTTTGAGAATGGGCATCAATGGTGCTATGCATTCTCAGTTCCACTGCATGGTGTTGACTTGTGGACTTCAATACATGCTAGCATAAGGAAGATGGAAAACATTAGAAATGCAGATTTACTGCAGAAGGCAAAAAATTTCCTGGGTCAGGAAGACAACTGATAAAGATGACGCGCTAAGGTGAACAAATAAAGACCAAGAACTCATAAAATACCTAAAAATAGAAGACTTTGGTCAAATAACTTCCTGTATATTCTCCCTCTGGAGTTCCCATTCTAGCTAAATTCTCAAAAATATGTTTAATATGCATATATATTTTAAAAATGTGACTTGTTCAACTGTTTCTTTCCTCAAATTCTTGGGGGTGGGGGAAGCAGCACCCCTTTTTTCCTTGTTATATTTTTTAAAAGGGTGTCTGCTGGTTTGATTGATCTATGGTTATTTCCTCTGATATTTTTATGTTTTTTTCCTACACTGACACTCCTGCCTTTCTTCCTGCATGACCTCAAGTGGCATTCATGTCTTTTCCACCCCGCTTCTTCTTAACAACAACTTTGTGACGTATTTTAGGGTATGACAGTGCGACCACTCTAAGATCACTCAAATGAGTTTCATGGCCTAGTAGAGAAGGATTACCATATCCAGGAGATCAGTATCCATGGATTTGCTTATCCACTGCCTGGAAATATTAAATAAAACCCTCCAGAAATTCATATTTATATGCCATTTCAACAGCTTATTTACCAGAAATGGCCATTAGAGAGAACGTGGACGGGTGTTATATAACAGATACAAGTTTTAACCCAAAAACCTTAGTATCTGTTATTGCTAATGTTATTGTCATTATTATTAAACTCTTGAGCCTTAGGAGGAGCAGGGCCCAGGGCAGCTACACTACAGCAACACCACCCTTCCTCCTTGGGGAATCAGGGTTTTACGTACGACAGGCTGATGGGCTGAGGAAAGATAGCAGCTTATGGCTGGGCCTTACCACCTTCCGCTGCTACCTTGTCGTGTCACAATCAGGAGGGTGAGTCAAAAAAACTGGTCCATGCCTGATGCCACGAGTCTACCTGCTGTAACCAGGATGAGTAAACAGTTGGCCACCGGTGCAAGCTAGGAAATAGGCACAACTGTGAGCCCTTTAGCACACCATTTCCCCCATTGGCTATGCATCATGTCACAAAAATATGCAGGCGGCTTGTCGTGTTGTCCTGCACCATGAAGTTGCTTCTGCCTTGCAGAGACCCGATGGACAAACGGCCTCTGAAACCGTCCCGTCATTAGCAGCCCTGCTCGGCTCCTGTAAAGGGTCAAAGACCTTTATGGAGGCAATCCATCTCATGGCAGGAAGCTTCCTCTTTTCCTGCTGCCTTCCACTTTCCCTAACACCACGAGCTTTTCCCGTCTTCTCACAACAAATTTCATTTTAAATACAGTATAGTGTACATAAAGGCAGCCTTAGACCATATCCACCAGCCTATGTCTGTGGGCTTTGAAAGCAAGCCGCAAGAACCTCTTTTCACAAATCACTCTGTTTTTAACTGTGAGAAGGAGCCAGGACGAAAAGTTTTTGAAAAGCAAGCCCTCCCAACCATCTGCCTCCCCCCCACGTCTTGGCTTCTCCTCCAAGAAGCAGCAGCACCTTGGCTTCCTGCAGGCCTTACTGCGTGCAGATGCTTTCCAGATGCAGACACTGTCCTGGCCTTTCCAGGAACCCACAGGGACCCCCTCCCCCTCCCATGGCTGCAGAAGGAGGTCAGGAGAGAGGGTCACTTACCACGCACTGCATCAGGAACGGGAGGAGAGTCCCATGGGCGGCACCTCATGCGGCTGGGGAGGGGGGGGGTCCTGGGGCTCAGTCCCGGCTGGCTCCACCTGCTGGGAGCTGGAAAAGCAACAATACAGGGGGGGTCAGTTACTTGGGGGGAGAAGGGTCTCAGCTGACAACTTCTGCCTACATGAGAGGCAGCCAAGGAGGAGACCCGCATTCTGGACAGCTTGATTGCTGAATGTTCCGTGCGAGAAAGGCATCGGGTCTTTGGCATTACTGTAGAGCTGCTGCCTTTTACTCTAGCCAAACCTCTGCTTGCCTCTTTGCAATAAACACACCCTGCCTTAGTTAAACTCCTTTTACTCAGTTCTCCACTGCAAGATCCTTGGGATGAGGCCCACCTTCCCGTGCGTTGCACAAGGATACTGTGATACTGTAGTTGTTCTCTGCACACAGTGCTGAGATGCTGCGTGCATCAAAAATACTTCCTGTTCCTCAACTGCCCAAACTCTGAGCCTCATAGAACTCACCCACCTTGGATGTTAAAGATCTACCCAAGGTGGCAAACTCAGTTTCAACAAAATCAAGACACAGTTCAGTCATCACTTATTAGGCAGTCACAACAATGTTCACAAAGCAGAGAAGGGCTTCAGGATCTCGGTGCCACCCTGAAAAAGGCCCTGCTCCTCTCCACTCTTGCTATCTTCTCATCAGTGGGACCACATGGGAGAATGGCCCAAGTTGACCCCTGTAAGGGATGGGCAACCTGTAGATAATGGGAAGGATCTGGTCAGGACACCCGTAAGCCGGCAAATGCAGAGAACAGAGTGAAAGCAATGTGGAAACCATCATCTGGGCATATGCTCTGCGTAATGTACATGTGGAAACAAGCACAGGTGCACAGAAGATGCAGATCACCCTCTTCTAACCCCTTTGGAGGCTTACAGGTTTTTCTTGGTATATTCTCTTGTGGGCTGTGGCCCACATCTTCACTTGAATACCTGAATCTGAAAGGGAGCTACCGGCCAGGAAAGCCCGTGTCAAAAACACTTGTTACCCTTCCAACATTCCCTCCAGACACTTGACGGTTGGTACGGCAATGGCTTAAAGCAGCTCCCTCCAGGGAAATGTTTCCATCTGTGTCTGTCATCACCTGCACCTTGAGGCATGGGCTTCTTGGCCTCCAAACTGGCATGAACGGGAGCCCTGCTCTGTGTGTGTGTGTGTGTGTGTACTCAAATGCATTGCATGAGCCTGCCAGCAGCCCTGTTCTGTCATGTCAACGGCAACCCACCCTCCCGGTCTCCTTCAAGGCAAACGCACGGCTCCCCACCCCTCCAAGTCCCATCTGGCCACCTGTTCTACAAAGCTGAGGCAGGATCCAGACCTCTCCCGTCAAATTTCCTGAGTTACACCCCTTGTACCTATGCATGTGTGTCTGGGTGGCTGATGGATGCACCCACTTCTGTCAGTGAAAAGGTGCGTGTGTTTGTGTGTGTTTGTGTGTGTTTGCGGAGGCCACCTAGAATGCGTCATTGAGATCAGGAGCTGCGTGTCTCTGTGCGTTCCCCCCCCCCCCCCCCGCCTGGCCATAGCCTGCTTCTCCAGTGCTGTTGCTTCGACTACAATGTTGCTGTCGCACGGTTTGCTCCATCCCTTCTCCCCCTGTCACACACAATTCTTACCCAGCCCAGTAAATCCTATGTGATGCGCATGTCGCCCTGTGGGCACATGCCATTGTGCTCTGTGGATCAGTCGGAAGGAGGTGCTCTGTGCATGGCATGCATGCCCATGTGTGTGTGTGGGGGGGTTCGTGCGTGCATTCTGCTCCTGCATGCATCGGAGACTCCCATGCGCCGTTGCCATGTTGAAGGCTGAGTCGTGGCTCTGAGACGTGAAAATGTCTCTTCTGCCGGCATGCAGTTGCATCCGTGGTGCCCCGATACTGCCAATGGCCGCTGCCGCCGCCTTGCCTTGTGGTCTCCTGTGTCCCCCCACCTCCCCCCACCCCGCCATGGCTGCCTGCCTTCATAGCTGCTGCTGCTGCTATGACAGCCGTGCAACCCCTCCCCCCCCATGTACCTGTGCAGAGGCGGCCTTCGCCCAGGTGTTGCTCTGGCACTCGACTTGCCCGCCACAGCTGCCCATGGCCTCGGTCAGTGGCACCCTCCTCCCCTCGCCGTGTCTCTGAGCACGCTTAGCCTGGGGGGGGGGGGNAGGAAGGAGAGAGAGAGAGAGAGAGAGAGAGAGAGGCAGGAGCTGGCACATTGCGTCCTTGTGGGTTGGGTGGGTCGCTGCCGGGCTAGCCCTTCCAAGATTCTGAGCCCCATCAGGAGCGGGGCCCCTGCGCTGCCGCC